AAGCTTTTGAGCCAGAGTAGCTTCCTTGCTCCTGAACCTATACTGTCATGTCGCAGACTTTAGCAAAAACTCCCACTGATGAGGGGTACCTGACACTACCCCGCCGTGTGTCCTGTCCTATGTTCATCCAAGTGGATTAGCTTCACGTGTGGCCTCTGTCACTGAGCATGAATATTCAGTTGAATCTCAGAAAATTTCCTGATGGACACCTTAGGGATATATTGCTGCCCAGACCTTAATGCCAGAGCACGGGGAGAAGGGGAAAATACTGCAAGCTCTCTTTTCTCCTGCTCTCCAGTCCCTCGCCACATTGGTTGAACCTACCCACAAGACAGAGGTCAAGGAGAAAGAGTCTGATTGGCCTAGCTTGAGTCAGGCGTTCTCCCATAGTTTGTTTGTTTATTATTCTCCTGTCGATGGACATTTGCCTATATGCATAAAGCTGCCATGAACCTTTGTGTATGAGGCTTCAGTCATACATTTTCATTTCTCTTGGGTGGATTCACAGGAGTGGAACTGCTGCGTCATAGGAAAGACAAACACTGAACTTTATAAGAAACTACCGAACAATTTTCCAAAGTGGTTGTACCATTTGTGTACTCCCACCAATAACACTTGAGAGTTCCTCTTAGTCCATACCTCTCCAACATTTGGTGCGAACAAAATTTCTCATCTGGGCCATTTTTGTGACTGTGTAGTGATATCTGACTTTGCTTATAATTTACATTTCCCTGATTACTTAATGATGTACAGGACTCTTTCACATGCTTGTCATTTACATGTCTTCTTTTATGAAATGTCTGTTCAAGTCATCTTAAAGCTAGACTGTCTTTTTTTAAAATATTTATTCTTCCTTATTTTATTATTGAATTGTGTGAGTTCCTTACATATTTTGGATACAAGTCCTTTGACAGGCTTGTGTGTCAAATATTTTACTTTCAGTCTGTGGATTGTCTTACTGGTGGCTTTTGAATAAGGAAAATTTTAAATACCATTGAAGTCTGAATTAGAAATGTTTTTCTTTCTGTGTCTTTTCTATGCCTACTCAAAAATTTAAAAAAGTCACAGTAATAGATTATTAAAATGCTATCTCTTAAAAAAAAGATTTCCATTCAAAAATGAAATCCAACTTGGATGATTTTCATCTCACTATGATTTATAGACTGAATTTGTGTCCTCTCAAAATTCGTATGTTGAAATCTGATCCCCAATGCGATTATATTTGGAGGTCAGGACTTTGGGCGTGATTAGGTTAAGAGAGTGGGGCCCCTATGAAGGGGATTTGTGCCCCGATAAAAAAGATGCAGAGAGCTCTCTTGTCCCTTCTGTCATGTGAGGACCCAGCAAAGAAGATGGTCATCTTAGAACCAGGAAGCAGGCCTTTATCAGACACTGAGTCTGCCGCTGCCTTGATCTTGGATTTCCAAGCCTCCAGAACCATGAGAAATACATTTCTGTTGTTTATAAGCCACCTTCCATGTGGTCTTCCATACTAGCAACTCAGATGGACTAAGACACTGTGGTATCTTACTTCATTGTAGATATGTCTTTATAAAAGTTCATGAAATGTTGAATGCTTAAAGCTGCAGAGAGACTTTCATACTATCTTTTCCAAATGCCTCCCTAACATTAGGTTTCCTTCTTAAAAATATTCCTGATAATAATTCAGCCTCTGGATGCTTCTAGAGATTGAGAGCTACCAGAAGTGAGTCTCCTTTTGTGGGAAACAAAATGCAAAATAATCGCTTCTTGAAATTGAAATACTCTTTTAATAGTGTCCTCATTAGATCTTTATACAATATAGAGGGTGCCTGGGTGGCTCAGTCAGTTAGCTTCTGACTCTTGATTTCAGCTCAGGTCATGGTCTCACAATCTGTGAGATCGAGCCCTGTGTCAGGCTGTGGTGACAGCATGGAGCCTGCTTGGGATTACCTCTAATCCCCTCTCTCTACCCCTTCCCAGCTCGTGCTCTCTCTCTTTTTCTATGCATATATATATAAACTTAAAAAATAAATTTATAAACAATATAAATTTCATTGAAACATTAGTGTGAACAGAGTTCTGAGAACCAAATTACAGTTGACTTTTGAACAGTGCAGGGATGAGGGACACTGACCCCCATTGCATTGGAAAATCTGCATTCTTCTTTCTGACTTTCCATAAACTTAACTACTGTTAACTGAAAGCCTTACCCATAGTGTAAACAGTTGGTTAACACATTTTGTATGCTCTATGTATTATATACTGTATTCTTACAATAAAGTAAGAGAAAGAAAATGTTATTAAGGAAATCATAAGGAAGAGAAAATACGTCTATCGTACTGTACTATTTTTGAAAAATCATCTGCGTGAAAGTGGACCTGTGTGGTTCAAACTCGTGTTGTCCACAGGTCAGCTGTACCGTCTGTTGGCCAGTGCTTACACAGCTTCAGGGTTATAGTTTGTGCTGGAATACAGAGTGGGATTAGTTATGGTCCCTGTCCGAGCAGTGACTGTGTGGTAAGTGCGACAAGGGAACATGTGGCATGGCCAAGGGAATAAATAATTGCCCTTCCTAAGTGTGCGAGGGAACATTTTATAGGGGAAATAGATTTGTGCTCAAGAATAGTAGGAGTCTTCCAGAAGAGCTGGAGGAAAGGGCCATGGAGTGATGGAGAACTAGTAGTAGTGACTATTGCCATGGTTATGGGTAAAAACCCAAGCAATGGGAGATGAGGCTGAAGAGCTAGGCAGGGTATAGGCCAGGAATGATGGAGGACTTTGCTCCGTGCCATGGCTTTGCTCCGTGGCACCTCTGCAAAGGGTGAAGTGAATGGGGAGACTGGTGGCACTCAGATCAGTTAAGAGGCTCAAGCAGTAGCTTAAGTGGATAGTTATCAAATTGTCAAGTACTTGTATTCAGGCTGTCAGTCCCCTATTGAATCAGAATCTCAGTGTGGAGGCTGGGGGCCTTTGAAAAATTTCCCAGGCTCTGTGAGTGAGTCTGAAGGCCATTGGAGTTTGAAAACCACTGGTTCAGGTGAATGATGAGGCAGTAAGAAAGAGAGGAGGACCTTAACTAAAAGGTATTAGGAAGTGAGATGGTGACCCTTCACATAGAATTGAAGCTAGTGAGACATTTCCTCCAAAGGCTAAATATTTTTAGGTTCATAAAAAAATTACAATATTCCTGTTATAAAAAAATGGAATTTGTAATAAAATATGGGAGTAAATTGATTTTGAGAAACACTTAATGGTATAGAAAAATAATCAACTTATTTTGATAAGTAAAAAAATTCAAATTGAAAATGGCAGTATGGTGTGATCCAAGTTCTCTGAAAAAGAAACAGTCACAAAAAAATATGCTAAGTACCCATAAATTAAAGCTACATAACAAGGCGCCTGGGTGGCTCAGTCATTTGAGCACCTGACTTTTGATTTAGGCTCAGGTCATGATCCTAGGGTTGTTGGATCAAGCCCCACATTCGGCTCTGTGCTGAGCAGGGAGTCTGCTTATGATTCTCTCTCTCTCTCTTTCTCTGCCCCTCTCCCCCACTCGTGTACTCTCTCTCTCTCTCTCAAAAATAAAAAAAGAATAAAGTATGAAATGAAATAACAAAACAAATTACAAATCATTTAGAGCTAAAGAATAGTGACAATGTCAGTATGATATAAAGCGTAGGTAGAGGGTAATGTGTAACTTTAAATGTACTTTTCTTCTTAACATGAAACTATTTTATTTGAATTTTCTGTTTCATTTATCAATGGCTGATTAACAATGTCCATGAAATTCAGTGTGTTAGAAACGTTCCAGCTTCTTCTTAGGTTACCTGGAGACAGTGCTGCTCCTGTCTCTGTAATAGAAAGTGACAGGGAATCTGCATAATCGATACTTTTTCCGAATCAATATTTTTCACCACAGAGCTGAGGTCCCAAGGCACCAAAATAATCCCAAATACAAGACAAGGAAGCATCTTCAAGGAGTCACAGGATACAAGTACTTCTTACTTAGGGTAGATAATGGACATGATACGGGCTCTGTAAGGGATGAGAATGTCGGAGGATTCTGGTTTGAGTAACTTCAAACATGATGTTTATGACATTATGTCACTTGCCCACATAGCAACACAGAGTAGGAAATCTGTGGGAGAAAAGACAGGAAGTTTAGTTCTAGACATAAGGCCAAATGTCAAATACCTATTTTTATCCCCTAGAAATAATATTAACTTTGAAAATTTATGGTCCTGTCCATTCAAATATTGCTGATAATACTGAAATACTTCCATTATGTAATATTCTTTTCAGAGAACATATTTAACTCACATTTGTTAGGCACTAAGATTTGTTGCATGCCTACTACATACTGTAATGACTTTGGGGCCAGATATTATTATCATTTTGCAGATGTTGAAACTGAAGTTCAGACAGGTTAGTTGATTTCCTAAGGCCATGTTAGTCAGGACTCAAAACTTCTGACTTTGCCCCTTCCAGTTCACTAGTAAACATCTGCCTCTCATAGCAGGGATAGGCAGGATTTTTTTTCTTGTTATTTATATATGTTAAACTTGGTGTCCAGAGAAAGTGTGATTTGCCCAAGAATTTGAGCTGATATGTACAGAGCAGGGAGCAGAGCCCAGGTTGCTGCTTCCCAGTCACTGCTCTTTTCACTCTAACTTCTTGCTTTCCAGATGATTGAGTTTCTTTTCCCACTTGTTGTATGTATAGTTGGACCTTTCTCCTTCAAAGAGGAGAAGTTAGGAATTTCATAGAAATTATGAATATCATTTTTTAAAAGTAGGCTCCATGCCCAACACGGGACTTGAACTCATGACCCTAAAATCAAGACCTGAAATTAAGAGTCAGATTGTCTGCCAGCTGAGCCACCCAGGTGCCCCTGAATATCATTTTGAAAGGAAGAAATATTGTTTGACAAGCAAAACCAGCCTTCAAAGTTCCGTTGCTTTGGGGTGGCATGTGATGGTATATTTCCCGTCTGTGCATGAATTTTTTTTTTTAATTAGGAACCTGACCTTAATGATGATAATAAAAATATGGAAATAACTCCAGGAGAAGAGGTACTTCGGAACACCAAAGAACAACGGGATCAGCAAAACCGGCTGAGAGAGATAGATGACAAACTGAAAAAGATGAAGGAAAATGTGGTAAGTCTTTTTTATTTAAAGTTTAACTGTAACCAGTGATTGTATTTAAAAAACTCTCCAGTTTCCTTTGACTGTTTTATGGCTGGTTTTATATGTTAAATCCATCAAGAAAAACTGACATGGGAGTATGTCAGTAAGACTTTGAATAAAAGCTAAAAATATGATTCATGGACCTTAACGTAATATTATACTTACTTTATGTGATATAATAAATCTATGAAATACTATCTGAAGTCAGAATAATGATCCATGTGCCTTATATTCTGTGCCTGACAGTGACATAAATGTTTTTTTAATGGAAAAATCTGGTAATTATTCTCCATAAAATCATCTTTATATATCGAGCTTATGGCTTAAATAGTCCCACTTTTTGTTCATACTTCATAATATATTTTACTCAATTTTAATTCATTCTAAATCCTTTGTGTGCCTATTTCATGTTTTAATTGCTTGTCATCGAAAGACATATCACTGCTGATGAGAGAAAGCTCTTCAATCAACAAAATTGTGAGCTGGTTGGTATTCAGAACCCATTAGAGATGCTCCCTAATATTCTGATTTTCCAGCTCCCCGTACGAAGCTTCTACCTGGCTACTTGCTTTTACCTAAAATTGAACATGACAAGGCTAAACTTGTGATTCCACCTACATCCTCTCTCCCAGGGCTGGTCTTGTCATAACTGCCAGCAGCACCCACTTTCTGTCTCCTCCTAAATCCTATTATCTTGGGTGATCTTCAAGCCTCATTAACTTTTAACCAGTATGTCTAATCTGCTGTCATATCTTGTCACAGTTCTTTATGACTCTTTGAAAATCTTCTCTCTTTTTGTCCTTGCTTGTATCACCCTTCTGTCAGCCCTGTCCCCTCCTGTCTAGCCACTTAACCTGGTCAGCCTTTTCTCTTATTATTTTATTTTATACGATGTTCCAGGGGAGTGAGCGTCAGGCAAGTGGTTTTGAGTCCATTCTGATCTCCTTAGAGCTCTCCAAGAGCGTGCACCCGTCCCGACTGAGATCCTTCACCCCTAAGGACCGTGTCCCCCAGAATTGCTCTTAACCGTTTGCCAGCCATGGACAGCAGCCCTGACCCTCAGCCTAAAAGATAGCTAGGTCTACCTAATGAGAGTCAGGCAACAGTTCTAAGGGGGAATGTGCACTGTGCTTCTCTTTAGAATTCATTTTTGTTTATTTTTCATGGGAAATTAAGTGGAAATTATGTTTCCGGGAGACTTTTGTTTTTATTTTCTGAGGGATGTTTTTTTCTCCTTGAGTCTGTTGATATGGGGAGGAAGTGGAAGAGGTAAGAATGGTTAGGGAGTGTAAAGAGGCTCTTGGCCAATAGTTGTGGTGGTGGTGATAGGACATTGCAAACTTGATGTGGTAAATAAGATGTTTGTGGTTTGACTGGCTTTGAAAATGGTTGGCACTTCTAACCCCATGCCTGTCAATCCAAGGCCATCAAAGCCTGTCATTCTCCGTAATTCACTTTTCCTGATTTCTCACCATTTGTTTTATGCCTTAGACATGTATCCATTATTTTCTACCATGCCTCTGTTATTATTTAATTTTTGACTCAAAACCTGGGTCCTTTAGGAAATCTTGTATATTTTTCCAGTGCCATATGAAGGTTGGTTAGACTTATAGAAGTTTGACAGATACCAAGAGTTGATTGTTCTCTAACTAGAAAAGAATAATATGTAAGTAGAGAAGAACAACTGCTGTGGGCCTCCAGTGACAAGTACTTGGTAACTTAGTACCTTACCTAGTCTTTATAACCACTCTGTGAGCTAAACACTATGATCTTTGTTTTCCAGACAAGGAAATAGAGGCATGGAGAGCTTGAGTAACTTCCTCAAGCTCATGTCGCTACTGAGTGGCAGAGACAGGATTCAAATGATTAGCTTTCCACAACTGTTTTGTTGTTTTACAGTCAACCCTTTGAGAAACTTATGTGATAAAGGCATATGTGTGTTGGCCTGTCTTGTCTTTATGCTTTAATTGCTTAGAGTTTCATAATGTCTAATGAATCACGTATATCACATGTGTGTGCTTTTTAGGGAAGATACTGTGTCTGTTTAAAACTCTGCAAAGCCCATTGCACCTCATAGATGTCTAGGTACTTTGTGGATTGGGAATCTAGAGACCTGACTCCTTGTTTCAGAGTTGTGGGACCTGCTCTGTCACCTTGAATAAGTCACTTAGTCTCTTGAAGACTTGGTTTTCTTACTTTAAAATCAAGAGAGTAGAGCTAGATGACCTCTCTCCTTCTGCCTGTGATTGTTGGCATATTTGGGGTGAGAAATGATGTCATTTATAGCATCTAAAGCTTAGTGTGTGTGCTTCCCAATTGTTTATAATTAATTGGCTTTAATATTTAAAAAAAATTTTTAATGTTTATTTCTGAGAGAGAGAGAAAGACAACATGAGCAGGGGAGGGTCAGAGAGAGCAGGAGACACAGAATGTGAAGCAGGCTCCAGGCCCTGAGCTAGCCGTCAGCACAGAGCCCAACGCGGGGCTCCAACCCGTGACCTGAGCCAAAGTCGGACACTTAATCGACTGAGCCACCCAGGTGCCCCGTTTTTAATATTCTATTGAAAGTTGCTTTTGGAAGTTTACTAACACTTTTTGGGAGAATGTGAGATTGTCTTTCATGTGTCTAAGCAAAGTTAGCTTGCTACCTATAGAGCAAAGAATATGTTTTCCGAGTGATTGCTTCTGGAAATGGCTAATTTTACAGTTTTGTCTTTCTCTTCCTATTACAAGAGAACATTGTTTCAAGATCACTGATTTGGATAAAAGCAGTAATCTGTGGCCATTGAATTGGTGATTTAGGTACAAGGTCCACATTCAGTTTTAGGGATGAACTAGAGAAAGAGTGAGGGAAAGGGCGATGTCGAAGCCCTGTGGGTAGTCCTGGAGCCACCCGATTCCTAGGTTTGATTTGTCAGTCAGGGCTGACAAAGTGACTTAATTCTTTGTTTCACATGGTAGGCCAAGGCTGCAAATGCACATCTGCTTTGGTCAAGGTTGGTTGAGGAACTGGGATTTGGTTAAGCCCGAAGGGGGTAGTAGTGGTATTGGTGTCAGTGGATCTTGCTACTAGGAGCTATTAGGAGCTAGGGGAAGTAGGCACAATGAAACGAAATTGAGGCTCACAAGTGTAGCGTGAACTTCAGTGGGCAGACAGGGTCCCTGAATGCCAGCTGCATAAGTAGAGGAAGGATGAGCCATGGCTGCCAGAAGCAGCATATGTGAAACAAATCTTTAGGATTCGCTCACTGTGAGTCAGCAACGTAGTGTAGCTGCTATGCTGCATATTATGGGAGGGGTAAGCAAAATGGATCTTATTAGGATAGTACAGTGACAAAGATGAGGAAATGATTTAAAACCAAGACATATGAAGGATTGTTGATGGGACTGAGTATATTTATTTAGCCTGGTGAGGAAGAGGTGTGTGTGTGTGTATGTGTGTGTATGTGTGTGGTGAGGAAGGTGGGAGGTATGGTTTGGTGGAAAATTCACACAGTATCTACTTCCCAAAGACAATTAAAAGACGATAGTGTAAGTATTAGTTTTAATCTTTGATAATATAGGAAAAAAGCATGGTGATTAGGAGGCCATGAAGAGACAGATTTCGGGTAAATATTAAGAAGAGAGAATTGTCTGAGTGGGATTGATCTGCCTGGGGCAAGGTTTTCAAGTTAGGCTGGGGTGAATAGAGAGGGTTTTAAGTATCAGTAGGATGGCTGGATGGTTTTGGTCACTTTCTCCAGCACAGGCAGGCAGCTTGTGTGTGGCAAGTGTTTGGGAGGGCTATGCTTCGAGCTCTTTTTCATACATAGCAGGTGGGGCTTGTGCTGAGCCACTCACTTCTTGCCTGGTTGGTTCCCATAGGGTTGGGAGTATTGGCTTTGACCATGGATGAGAGTTCCTCTGTCAAGCTAACTACTTGTGTGGAGATAATTTGAGAGGATAGAATCAAGAGAAAATGAAAATAGCCATATTCATAGAAGAGGCGACACAAGACAGATCCCACAGGCAACCTCTCCATCATTTGCATACAGTGGTCTCTAATTCCTGTCCCCTGGTTTCCCTGTCTAGCTCAGAGAGTCACTTTGTATTCTTTTAGGTGCTATACAGGCTTCTCTGCCCATTCACTCTTAAACCCACTTTGCTTTATTTTACTCCTTGGGATATAGCTTTGTTATGTAAGCTTTTATACATGGGACATAGTGGTTAAGAGCCATACAGTGGAGCAGCCTGCGTGGGTTTGAATCTCAACTCTGTACTTACTAGCTGTGTGACCTTGGACAGATCTCTTGACCTCTCTGTGCTTTAGTTCTTTGATCTGTAGAATGGGATATTTATAATTAACACCCACGTTATAGACTGTTATGAAGATTAAATTAGTTAGCATACATGTAAAGTGACTTGAACAGGGTTGGGCACATTTTAAGTGCTATCTAAATGTTTACTATTAGTATTATTATTTTTATTATTAATTATTATTAAGATGGCATTTACATATGCTTGTTTCTATGATAACAAATGGAAGGATATAGTAGAGAAGAGGAAATTGAAGATGGAGGTAAGCCTTAGAAAAGAATCAAGGGGCGCCTGGGTGGCTCAGTTGGTTAAGTGTCTGACTTTGACTCAGGTCATGATCTCGTGGATCGTGAGTTCAAGCTCTGCATCAGGCTCTGTGCTGACAGCTCAGAACCTGGAACCTGCTTCAGATTCTATGTCTCCCTCTCTCTCTGCCCCTCCCCACTCACACACACTTTCTCTCTCAAAAAATAAATAAACATTACAAAAATAAAAAAGATAAATTAAAAAAGAAAAAAAAGAATCAAGATGCCCTTTTTCTGACTCCAGATGAAAGGAGACAAGGATGATCCTAGAAAGGCAGGTTTGGACCTGAAGAAGAGAAGGTGAGAGAGGTCATGCCTGAATGTTCTCTCTGTGGTCTGTAAATTAGAGAGCAAGCCATAGGATCAGAA